CCTGGAGGGAGCTTCATATATACTTCATCCTTGAGATCTCCGTGAAGAAAAGCATTGTGAACATCCATTTTATCGAGACTCCACCAGCGAGATGCAGCCACTACAAGAAGAGCCTGAAGAGTGACAAGTTTAATGGTAGGAGCAAAGGTCTCCTTATAATCAATACCTTCCTTTTGCCGGTTGCCAACCAGTCGTGCTTAGTAGCGTTCAATGCTTCCATCACACTTATGTTTGATTTTGTACACCCACTTTGATCGTATAGCCTTATTATGTGGTGGAAGTGGAACCAAGGACCACATTTCATTAGCTTCCAAGGCCTCAACTTCATTTTTCATCGCTTCACGCTAGTGTGAAGTTTTACTGCCTTAGAAAACTGAGTGGGTTCCTCATCTGCATTAATTGCTGCCAAAAAACATCAATGTGAAAGAGAAAAATTATCACAGTTAATAAACTTAGTTATGCAGTGACCAATACCTGAAGAAGGCAATGGAACGGAAGTGCAAATGGGTGTACTATGTATGGTGTACATGACAAAATCTTGGAGATGTGTGGGAGGACGCCAAGTTCTCGTACTGCGACGTTGCTCACTAAGGTCCGCGGCCTAAGAGGTGTCGATCTGTACAAGAATGGGTTCCGTGTCTTGTACCGGGTTTTGTTCCGCATTGGATGTTGTAGGAATATGTTCAATATGGGTTGGATGGTGTGGGATTGGGTCGGGTGAGGTTTGGTCAGACGTGGTCCACTCGGGCTAGGATCAGAGATAATTCGTGTGGGTGGCAGGGTTGGAAGCGAAACAGGGGTGATGGCACGGTCGTCGTCGTCAGCAAATTCGAACGGCGAAGAGGGGAGGTCGGGGAGAGTTTCGGTGGTGGAGAGAAATAGGAAAGTGGTTTCAACAAACTTGATGTCGCGGCTTACAAAATTTTTATTGGTTTCCAAGACCTGCAATCGCAATCCCTTTTGACCGAAAGGATATCCCAAGGAAAGACAACGACGCGACTGACTTGCAAATTTATCACCTTTGCGATTTTGATTGTGAGCATACGCAAGACATCCGAAGGTACGAAGAGTATATGAGGGGGTTTGACCAAAAGGAGTTCATAAGGAGCTTTGCCTTGTAGTAGCAAAGTTGGAGTTCGGTTTATGAGGTAGGCTGCAGTCAGAATGTAATCGCCCCAATAGGAGATGGGAAAATTTGCTTGAAAACAGAGCACACGTGCTATGTTGAGTATGTGTTTGTGCTTGCGTTCGACTCTCCCATTTTGTTGGGGAGTGCCGACATGAAAGGATTCAAAGATTATTCTAGCAGAAGCAAAGTATGGTTTCATGCAAGTGAACTTCGTCCTATTGTGACTACGAATTCATTTGACTTTTGCATCAAATTGACATTAGACAAGAGATATGAAGTTTCACTCAATGGCAGATGTTTCGTCCTTGTGATTTAAGAGATGCACCCAAAATGCTGGAGAAAAATCATCTACAATGGTTAAGAAAAGTTTGGCCCCTATTCCAGAAGCAGTTCTATACCCTTCCCACAAATCACAATGAATCAAAGAAAACGGAATATTTGATTAACTAGAACTGATAGGAAACGAATCACGACATTGTTTAGCACGAAAACATACATCACAAGGTAAAGAAGAAACTAGAGAATGACAAGAAAGAAAAGGTAAAAAATGACAGATCTCAGGGGATGGATGACCCAGACATTGATGCCACACTGCAAAATCCTTTGTCTCCCGCACAACACAAGCTTTGTCACACACCCCTTGTTGGAAATAGAATAGGCCACCCGTTTGTTCACCTGTTCCAATCACCGTCTTCGAGATACAGTCCTGTATAACACAAGATTTGTTAGTAAACTGGATAAGTAATCTTTTATCACCAAGAAGTTGTTAGACAGAAATTAAATTGCAGTTCAGTTTAGTAACTAGCAAGACATTTGTTAGCTTCAGTGAAGCACTCAGGTACATTTCACCCCTCTATGCGGCTTCGGCTCCTTGGCCATTGGGGAGACCGACCCTACCTACGGTTATGGATTGAAAATTCGTCAACCATCTTCTGTCTCCGCTCATGTCCTAACTTGCCCCACTGTCAATAATCCAAGAATTATTATTTGTACCTGAAAACTGGTTTTCAAGCTGCACATTGGCTTGGGCGGCAAAAGGTTCGGGTCCCGCTTTCTTCTTCGTGTAGTTTCCATCACCTTGTCCAGTTGGTGCGCCCCTTGCCGCCGCGCCTACTGTTCTGGTTCAATCTACTGTCGCAGCCACCTCCGCGGTCTCCGTTCTGCATGAGCAGTCTGTCAGCCCACCATTCCGGATAACCTATAATTTGGAAGCACCCACTGATCTCGTGCCCTGTTTGTCCACATTGTTTGCATTTGAGACTGTTGTCATGCGTGGCTCTCCCCGATGCAACTGCGAAACTTACAGGGTTTCTCTCTTCTTCCATGGTCATCTTTAGCACCCCCTACCGCTGCGTTATTATAGAGTATACACGGTTGATTGTGCAAGAGGTTCAGTACTCAAGATGTTTGAGTGAAGACAGCCATAGCCTTCATTATCGAGACCCATCAAAAACTGATGGACCTTTTCTTAGTCTCTTTGTTTTTCCAATTGTGCGGTAAGTCCACACTTGCAACCACCACACTTGCAACTTGCAAGTAGGCACCTTCCACAGATCATACAATTCGTCCCATATGGCTTTCAGCTTGCCATAATGTTTCACGATCTCTTGACCATTTTGTTTACAGTTTGCTAGTTCTTTCTTCAGTTGATGGATTCGTGGGCCGTTCTCCATAGAGAATCTCGCCTTAATGTCGTTCCATAGATCTACAGCGACCTCCACTTGGGTGATAAAATTACGCGGGTGTGTTTCGAGAATCTCGCCTTAATTTCTTCCCGTGAGTTTCACATGTGTAATCAATAGGCCCAGCGTGTCCACCGACTTCAGGTCGTATGGGCTGGCTTTTCCAGCCTTTTGTTCGTCGTTCAGCATGCCGAGAATGACAGCCTTTTTTGACAGAATTTCCTCCCCTTTCGTCGTCGGTTCGGTCTATTCGGCGACGGCTTTTAGGTTTCAAAGGTCCGAGGTATCTTGCTCCAATACCATGTAGAAAATATTAAAGGAGAATAATCTTTTTTTGTGTTTATTGAGTTGTCTCTTTACAATAATCCACCCCTTTGTATATAGGAAGAGGTTAACATAAACTAGGAAACTCTTTACAAATCTATTCCTACCATAACTAAGAATATACAAAAATAGAAGAAACCATCAACATGAATCCTCCAATAAGGATTCGACCTTCCTTAGTCGTGCCTCCCACGGCTCCCACGTAACATGTTCCTACCTATAGTCCTTCCGGTCAATATTTGTTTCTTGAGTCCTTTCAATATCTAAACTCATCAAATGACCATAGACCCGGTCTAAAGTAGTTTGCCCGGGTGGTAATTTACACCATCACGTAGTATGGATGATTACAGACCATCCTAACAATAAGTCATATTTCTTACTCCCTTCGTCCCTGAAAATATTTCCTCTTTCTTTTTTTATCTGTCCCTAAAAATTCTTCTTATTTCCCTTAAAATGTCTCTTTTACCCCTCCACCAAAACCTTACTCCATTTTATCCCATATACGTCTCTGACATACTCCATCGATTCCCAGTGTTCTTCGTCTCTCTCTAGATCTAAGAAGTTCTTTCGCTTCACTAGATCTAAATTCTTTTCATATCTTCCATTTCTCTTGATCTGAAGAATAAATCTAAAGGTCTCCTATTTCAGATCTATTCTTCTCTTCCCTAATCTGATGTTTTCTCGCGATCCTTTGATGCTCAGTTTTCAATTACTGAATGATAGTGATGATAATGCATGTCCTCCATATGGAATCCCTCCTCCATCAAAGCCTGAGTTGAAGAAGGGTGAGTTAATTCGTTTGGGATTTGATGGAGGAGAATCTGATTCCTCTACAACGGACCTAACATGGAGCTTTTGCAAAAAATATCTTTGCGACTGTTACTAATTTGACCTTGAAAAGAGTTATGAAGAAGGGGACGGAGAGAAATACTAAGAATTGGTGACCTCTGTGGAGGAGGATTTTCTCTTCGTAGAACCTATAGAAGACCCTGCAAAACTAGATCGATACAGACAGAAAACAAGCTCTAAACTCTCTTACTCTCTTTTACTTACATTTGCTTGTGAGTGTTTAAATATGTAGACATAGTCTATATTGGCAAACTAATGACGCAAATCACTAATTCAAATGAATAACATGTGTTTATATGTGAGTTGCTAGTGTAATGTCATCCACAATTTTTGTTGGAGACTTACAACTATGAATTCTGCCAGGGATTGGTCTACTTGTGTTCATGTGTTTATTTTTTATTGCAGATTGGTCTTCCTGTGTTCATGTGCTCTGATTGTATAAGAACGGATTCTACACTTCAAAGTAATAATAAAACAGATGCTACACTTCTTTTAAAATAGAATAGATTCTAGTTATTATCTAAAACAGATGCTACACTTCTTTTAAAATAGTACAAGCTAGAATTAATTAAGCATTATTACTTCAAATCCCCAATTCTACATTTGCCTAAACTATTATCTAACCATTAATAAAATATACTCCATAGTTAATTAGACGTAGTTGTGATATATACTCCTTTTGGTCCTAAAAATTCTTCCTGTTTTGACTTTTTTAATCAAATAGTGACACCCTTTGACTATAAATGAAACATAATTAAAATAAATAAATGTCATAAAAATTTGAAATATCAAAACTATATCCTAAAATGAACCCAATTATATTAAGATTATGTTAAAATTCAATATATTTTTCTCACAATTTGTGATCAAAGAGTATTTAGGACTCCGTAACAAAATTAGATAAATTTGTGCAAAACAAAGAACAAACCTTTGGGGGTAGAAGGGAAGCAAATGGACATTCAGACACACACACACATATACGCTAAAACAAAGAGAAAAGGCAAATATAGTAAGAACAATTCGATTTCAGTAAGGAACAACGGAACAAGACACATAGCATCTTCATTTTTTGGGGGAAAAAAAACAGACAAATATACGTAATTGAAATGAGGCAATAAATTAAGTAGAAGATTATTTCCCAAAAAAAAAAGAAAAAAAGTAGAAGATTCTGGAATCAGGAATTACAGGATTGAAGATGGATAGATCAGCCAGTATAGACATGAACTTGGACGGCCAAGATTAGAACAGCATAGATAGCGAAGAAGATAAGGGCGTGTACACATATAGCCTTGCCGCTAGTTTTCATGCCGCCCCATTCCAAGTTGCGGTTGTTTCCGGGGATCTGAACTATCAGCCCCGGTTGAAGGAGGACGAAGAGTACAACTCCGATCACCACCGGACCCCAATCTGCCATTATATTGTCGGTCTTCGGAGAGAGAGAGAGAGAGAAGAGAGATTTGGGGACAAGTGAATTGGAAAGTCACTTTCTAATTCCTACGGGCACATGTGAGTATTATGTCTAGTGGAGGATTTCTCAAGACTCAAGAGTAAACACCATTTGTCATGGGATAAAACTATTTGTACCATAAGGGTGGGTTTGTATACCATTTGTACAGTATAAGTATCAATATTTTGTGTTAGTATAATGCTAATTTTTGTTAATGCATTAAAACTTTGTGTCAGTGTAAACTTTTGTTAACGTACCAACATTTTGTATCAATGTGAACCATCAAAATGTTGGTGTATACCTTTGGGTAAGTTTGTGGTACAATTTTTGGTGCAAGTGTAGCATTGTCCTTTGTTATGAGGCGTTATGGCGGGCGTAATTGAGCCCGTCACGCCATGTCACGGGGTGACTAGGGCGACACGCCCGGTGTGACGCGTGGGGCTTGTTGGTCAACACGGGCGTTGCCCCGCTTGATTGACGCGCTTCTCGTTGCCGACAGTCGGAAATTAGGCTCTTAGGTCGATTTTTTTTAACTTTTTTTAAACTCTCCTATAAATTAATCAAAAATCAATCTCAACTTCGACGTCCATATACTTCTTCTCTTCATATCTTTTCTACTCTTCATATGTTCATCTTCTCATATTCACTTTCAATAATTTTTTTGAAATTTTTATCATGGATTCCAATTGCCCAAATTACCCATATCCTAATATTTTTTAATTATTATATCGACCCAAATAATCCAAATTCTCCCAATTCTCTGACAAACCCTATTTTTTTGAATTTATATGTTTACAAAAAAAGTATCCACAAAACAAAAAACGAAAAGAAATCCTCCGAGTACAACAAAAAAAGTAGTCAAGCTCTCGTCAAGCCCCCACCATTAGCTACCCACAAGTGAGGCGACTTGATGGGAGGGACAAGCCACATGGCGGTGGTCAAGTCCCACATCAAGCCCATAATAACACATAGGGGGTGTTTGTTTTTTCTGCAGGAAAAGGTCTGCGGTCTGCGGACCACTACTGTAGACATCTGCAGGAGAAGTGGTGGACCGAAGGTCTGCGGTCTGCAAGAAGAAGACTGTTTGTTTTTTTAATGTCTGTAGACTGCTATATAAATTAATGGTAGTAGTGTACGGTGGTGGTGTATGGACGATTGTGGTGGTGGTGGAGGGTGGTGGTGGACGTTGACGGCGGTGGTGNAAGTAGAAAAAAAAGGAGAAGATGTTAGAAGACATTGGTTAATGTCTTCTCCAAGAAGATGTCAGGAAGACCTTTTTGAGTGAAATGTCTTCCAAAAAACAAACAATCTGCAGAGCCCATCATCTGCGCGCGTCTGCGCGGCGCAGACAAAAGACGCCAGAAGGTCTTCTGGCAGAAAAACAAACACCCCCATAGTGTGATAGCCTAATGGTATAGTTTATCATGATTTTACAATATTACTCTCAAACACAACTAATTTTTCTAAAAAATTATCATAGATAGGAATAAAACATTGAGAAAATATCAAAATGGGAGTTTCATATTTTTATCTTCAAAATAAGAGTTTGCACTGTAGTAATGTGGCACTGTATATAGATATTTCACGATACTTTTTGGTAATGTATATGATCATGATTGACACTCTAAATGCATTTTAACTCTTACTTTAGAAATAAAAAATATAAAACTCGTATATAGGTATATTTAAATTATTCTACTTCTACTTTAGTCTTGTTCCCTTATTCCTCTAATTATTGTACTTCGCAAAAATGTCCTTTGATGTGATGGATAAAAGTATGATTTGATGGATAGATTATTAGTAAAAAGGTATGATGTGATAGTTAGGATATGAAAAAGTAAGGGATAAAAGTGACTTTTTAATAGAAATAAGAAGTATTTTGTGGGACGGATAAAAAAAGAAAGGAGAAAGATTTCATGGGACGGAGGGAGTATTTACTTGCATTATTTCATTACAACCATAATTATAATGATTATTAAAATAAATATATAAAAGAAGCATCGTAAAGATTGTAAGTGCCTCGTATGAGGAATATACAATAACACTCCATATTTTAAAAAAATGGAGTTACAAGATTGAGATTTATTTTGGCACGCAACGATGAACGTTAACATTACATTCACACACAACTTATACATCACAATTAATCACATCCCTTTTGACATCAAAAAATACAAGAAAATGCATCATTGTTTGAAAAGGATCAACAACAGATCAGATCAACAAGATACATGAAATGAAGAATGAAAACAATTGGTGGAGATGATGATGATGATGATGAAGATTAGCTGCCAAAATAGGCATGGATGCCAATAGCTAACAAGAAAATGCAAATGAAAGCAAAGTAAAGAATGGTGTGGACAACCGCGGAGACTTTACTGGATTTAAAAGTGGCAAAGGCAATGCACTGGTTGCCACTGGCCGGCATCTGAAACAACAACCCCGGCTGCAACAGAATAAACAGCACCGTGCCGACGATCACCGGCCCCCAATCAGCCATTTTTTTTCTTATTTATTTCGATCTCTTCTTTCAAGTCGATCTCTGGCTTATTAACTCCTCTTTGAATGAAGAAGCTAAGATAGAAGCTAAGATGTATGAATAGAGTTGCCTCTAATTTGGCCTGTTTATAAAGTACCATTTCGTTGAAGGTTTAAATAAAAAAAATTGGGAAAAAAAAGTGAAGGTTATTTAGCTGATGAAGCTATTTCATATTCTCATCACACTTTATTTCTTTCCCTTTTTTTAAATTGGTATTTTTTTCAAAAAAAAAAACAACCATGCTAGTTGTACACCAAAGATTTGCACAATCAATCCAGTACAGTGATGGCTCACGTTGGCACAAAGACCATGCTCTCTTCATCTACTCTGATTAGTTCTGATCTGATTAGAATAATTTCTGATCTAATCTGGTCTTATCTAATCTGAATGTAGTTATATTGAAAGCTATTCAGATCAAATCTGATCTGGTCTGATTTTATCTGCTCTGATCTGATTCCAAAAGAAATAAATAATAAGTAAAAAAATAAGTTGCGGAGAACATGGCCAAAATGTCATTACAATTTTGATATCATACTGACATGTTATGTTAATGTGTGCTATCAGACTGTCGGTGCAAGCCTTTGACGTAAACCAAATTGTGTAAAAGTAGATTTTTTTTCTTATAAAAAATCCATGATATAGTCACATCAAGTTTGACAATTGTTATCTGAACCATGCTAGGTGTACCCCAAAATGACACAAAATATCAGTGACCCTGTAAGATTTTGCACAGACATTTTGTATCAATGTGAGCCACCAATCTCGTACTTATATTGACACAAAATATAAATATAAATATTTGAGTACAATCTTTAGGAGTACAAGTTGGTTTATTCTTATAATCTAGCATGCATAGACAATAGGAATTGCTTAAAATATTTGTTAAAAAAAACTATCTAAATATGTCTAGAACAAAAAATTTTGTTGTTCAACTTGAAGTAAATATCAATTTACCTGTATGTGTTTTTGTAATATTATAGTCTTTCCGTCCCAAATTAAGTTGCATATTTACTATTTACTCAGTCAAACTTCATTTACTTTCTTATTCTATTTTCGTTAGTTATTTGATAAAATAATTTAGGTATGTTACTATATGTTTTGTAGATCTTTTGATGTAATTTTTAAATAAGTAATTTTTATTTTTAATTATATACTCCGTATTATTTTTTATATAAAACGATTTGAAAAATAATTCCAATTAAATATCGTAAAATGAAAAAAAAAGACGATTAAAATTAAGATGCTTGGGTAGAAATAAAAAGAATGGGAAACTAATTGGTTGCTTGGGAGTAGGCTCATAATGATTCTATAGTCAGCCGCCGGATAACTTTGATGTGAAGCAATGAAATGTTAATATCTATCGAGACCTTTTAACATTGAGTTTTACACTTTGGTTAGGTGAGGAGGAAAAAATAGAAGTATGAAGAATCAAAATAGGGAGTAAAAGATCATAAAATAGGAGTTGAAAAATAAAATCTTTAAAATAGTAGTTGCTCACTCACCCAATGATCTTCTGATTAGCTCTCCTTCGTGCGGATTTGTTCCATCATCACACTCTATATATCATTTTCTTGACTTCTTTGTTCACTTTGAGCCCATTTTAATTCATAAGGACAATCCAGGAAAAAACAACCCAGGAAGAACTCCCAACTCATAGAGCTATGAGACGGCCCTTACAAATCTATCTTGAAATACACCACTGAAATTTCTTTTCTCGTCTTGTTTGATTCAATTTTTGCACTTTCTTGATAATAGATTATGAAAGCTCGGAAAAATAAAATTTAATCACTAATTTGAACTACTCACGTAATCACGTTACTACTCACGCAGAGATTTAATTTATTTTTTACCCCATTTTAATTTATTAATGTATTTAATTGTTGATAAAATAAATAATATTCCATCTATTAAGGCAGAACAATAAAACTGCTCTCTACCATTGTCGCCAACACTATCACCACCAGCACAATCTGCACTGTCAACTTTAGAGTGCCACATAAACGGTCAAATATAGTGTCAAAAAAATATAATGTCAAACATGACACCATATAATGTTAGAAACGGCAATGCATAATGCCACAGATGCCCACATGTAATTTCACAAATGTGAATTCACAGTGTCACACAAAGGCATAATGTCAAATCTGACACATTGCCATGTACGATTGCCGGAAATCGTCACCCCTTTCACAACCACCTTTATGGCTGCCTGATGACCAACCGCCACTGCTGGTCATGAACCTCGCTTTGAGAGAGAACGATGGGGGTGGGGTATGAATATGAGAGGGGCAGCAGCAGCGATGGCACTGGAATTAGATGGCGGCAACGACAACAATTGTTATTATTATATGGAACGTAGAAGCTAGTTCAGCGGCCAATTATAGTTTTCGGGGCATGCAGCGCTAATAATGTTTCGTGATGATTATTTAATTTAATTAACTCCTATTTTGGGTATATAAGTTAGGGACTCCTATTTTAGGGATATACATAATGATGGACTCTGAGATAATGTGGTTATATGCTACATCCTAGGAGCAAATCCACCTCTTGAAATCGTAAAAGAATTTATCGCTAGGATCTGGAAGGATTATACAATGGATGATGTGAGTTTCCATAAAGAGGGTCAATATATTGTAATGTTTCAGAAATCTGGAGATAGAGATGAGATTGTGAAAAGGAAATACTACTATTTGATAATAAATAGCTGAATATCCAGGAACTGAGTGATGTTCCAATCTGGGTCCAATTCCCTAACCTTGATTTGAGGTATTGGAGTTTATCAGGCCTGGGAAAATTGAGAAGTATATTGGGTAAGTCTATCAAAAGGGATAGAGCTACTGCAACTAGAGCAAAATGGAGTTATGCAAGGATACAAATTGAGGTGCAAGTTCAACAGGAATTCCCTAACATAATTCATTATGTTGATAAGGATGATAGAGTGGTAACTCAGGAGGTGGTTTATGAATGGAGACCCTCAATTTGCTTTAAATGTGGGAAACTGGGTCACCTAGGCTCACCGTGTAGGAAGAAAGAGGGGAAACAGGAAAGGAATATCATGAGGAAAGTATGGCGCCCAAAGGAAAAGGAAGGAGAAAAGAAGGAAATGAATACCTCTGTGCAAGTACACAATGAAAAGGACATTAAAATGCATATCGAGGGAAAGGAACCTGTAGAGGATGAGGAAGGATTTCAAGTTGTAACTGGGAAAAAGGCAGCTAAGAGGCTTACAATAGAGGATCTGAGGAATCAAGGAGATCGCATAAGAGAATCCCCTTATGGCCATTACCCCTTCCTTCAATGATCATTAGCTAGAATGTGAGGGGGCTGAACAGCCTTAATAAGCAGTGGGAGGTCATGAATATAATAGACAAACACAAACCTGATATTATGGGTATTCTGGAAATTAAAGTTAGGAGGAATAAAAAAGATGTAAGGAATAAAATTATGAAGAGTTGGGATTTTTACACCAATGTGGATCATCATCCACTTGGTAGAATTTGGCTATTATGGAATGAGAAGAGGACAGATGTACACATAATAGACTGTTGTGCACAAGCTATACATGTGAAGGTAAGAAATATAGACAATAGTGAGTATGATTATATTACTTTTATTTATGCCTTTAATGATAATGAGGGAAGGAAACTGTTATGGGACAAACTAAGAGAATATGCAAGTAGTATGGATAGTCATTGGTGTTGCCTAGGGGACTTTAATAGTGTATTGAATGTGGATGATAGATTAGGGGTACCCCAGTCACAGAAGATGACATCATGGATTTTAAAAATTGTATAGCTGATTGTGGGCTGGAAGAACTGTCAAGTGAGGGGCCTTTCTACACATGGTCTAACAAGTAGGATGAGGATCACAGAATTTTATCAAAGTTGGATAGGATGCTTGTAAACATTGAATGGATCAGGAGACATAATGCCAAAACCAAAGTACTGAATGAAGGTGTATCAGACCATTCACCTTTACTCATTAAAGAAGCCAACTGCCAGAAAAGAGGATGATGTTTTAGGTTCTGCAATATGTGGATGGATGACCCCAAATTTATACAAATTTTGCAGAATGAATAGAAAGAGGATATGAATCAAAGGAGCATGTATCAAGTTGTTCAGAATTTAAAAAGAATGAAGGTGTCATTAAGGAAGCTTCACAAAGATAAATTTAGAAATATCCACCAAAGGGTAGATGATATTAGAGAAGAGTTGATGGAAATTCAATGGAAGATTAAGCTCCATTCTGATCAAGCCCTAATCAATAAAGAAAGGGAAATGAGAAAACAAATGATTGAGGTCATTAAGGCATCCCAGCATCTGAAATGTCAACAAGTCAAACAAGAAGAGGCAACTTAACAATTATATCATGAGTATTAATGATGATGGGAGGGAAGTGGAAGGAACAGAAGCAATAGCAAGAGTTCATGAAGGTTTTTATTTTAAAATGTTGGGAGCCACCATCTCCACTAAAGAGATAGATAGGGGGATAATTGAATCAGGAAGGACCCTAAGTATTGAGCAGCAGTTAGCATTAGTGAAGGAGTTCCAGGCAGAACAGGTAAGGTAAGCTATGTTCTCTATTCCCAACTTAAAAATCCCGGGACCTGATGGGTATAGTAGTGGTTTTTTCAAAAAGAACTGGAATAAAGTTGGCAAGTTAATTACAAAAAATAGTGCTTGAGTTTTTTAGGGAGGATACTACCCTAAAACATATTAATACTACTTGTAAAACCCTCATTCCAAAGGTAAGCAGCCTAATGAAACCTGAAGACTACTGACCCATATCTTGCTGCAATATTGTATACAAGGTGATATCAAAAATGATCTGCACCAGACTAAAGGAAGTATTGCCTCATATTGTAAATATGAACCATTCTACCTTTGTAAAAGGAAGAGAATCGCTCCACAATGTATTATTGTGCCAAGAACTGGCTAAAGGATACAAGAAGAAAGGAGTGTCACCCAGATGTATGATGAAGTTGGATATTCAAAAAGCGTATAATTCAGTAAGCTGGAAATCAATAAAGGGTATCCTACAGGGCTTAAAATTCCTAGGGAAATTTGTTGAATGGATTATGTATTGTATCTCCACTCCCACTTATACAATAAATGTGAATGGAGAGCAAGGGAGATCCAATATATCCACTAATTTTTGTGTTAGTAATGGAGTATCTCACAAGGAAATTTCATATAGTTGCCCAAGAGGAGGGATTCTCTTACCATCGCATGTGTAAAAGGCTGAATATTGTAAGCTTAACTTTTGCAGATGATTTGATTATTGTGTGCAAAGCAGATTGCAAATCTGTCAACTGTATTATGAATGCTTTGGAGGAGTTTCAACTCACTACTAGGCTGAAGATAAATAGGAACAAATCTGAAGTTGTGTTTGGGGAAATAAGCCATGAAACTGAACAAAAGCTACTGGGAATGACTAATATGAAAGAAGGTAAGTTCCCATTCAAATATCTGGGCTCACCTATGACCACAGGTAGATTGAGTGGCCGTGAATGTGATGTGTTGGTAAATAAAATTAGTGCAAGAATAACAGCTTGGGGACCAGACATTTTTCTTATACAGTCAGGGTCAGACTAATTAACTCAATGCTGATGGGAGTAATCTATTTTTGGGCAAGAATTTTCATTCTACCTAAAGGAGTGATGAAGAAGATAATGGCAATCTGTAGGAACTTTTTGTGGAATGGTAAGGCATAGTACACAAAAGCACCCCTAGTCAAATGGGATGAAGTGTGCCAATCAAGGATGTATGGTGGCTTGGGGATTAAAAATGCTTTGAATTGGAATTATGCAACCATTATGAAACTTAACTGGAACATAGTTGATAAGAAAGACATTTTATGGGTTAGGTGGATACATGCGAGGTACATTAAAGGGGATGACTTCTGGAGCTACAAGCCTAAACAAGACTCATGCCATTATTGGAAGGAAATGATGAGGATTAAGGAGAAGTTTACTAGTATGCCTGCTAATCTACCTTATGCCATAAATAAAGGATATGATTGGTTACAAGGGGAGAGGGAAAAACCTGAGTGGAGAGAATGGGTTTGGAATAAATATAATCCACCCAAATTCAGATTCATAGTATGGTTGCTGTGGAAGGGCAGATTGAAAACGAAGGATAGGGTTAGCAAGTATATGAGTATCAACACTAACTGTGAACTATGTGGTAGAGAGACAGAAACTGCACATCACCTTTTCTGACAATGTGAGGAGTCTAAATCCTTGGCTGCTTTACTGATGAAGGAATTCAATATGCAAAGCTATGAGGGATCTGTTGAAGGTTTTGGGAGGGCAGTGCATAATATTACGGGAGGGAAACAAAGGAAAAAGTGGATTGCTGTGTGGGCAACTTGTGTTTATCAAATCTGGAGGTGGAGGAATGCCAAAATGCACCAGCAAAGAGGAGATACTAGGATGCCTACTCAACAAGCTGTAGTTTATATAAGAAACTACTTAGAATATATAAATGCGTTGTAGTATGTAGTGAGCATTTGTAGTTGGAAGTTACATCTGATGTAGTTTGTCTAGACGGCTGATTTGGTAATAAAGTTTGTGTTTTATGTGCAAAAAAAAGTATGTAAATCATTTAGAGATAGAGGGGTAGAAAAGATATACCCGGAGTAACTAGTGTTTGGATGGATAGACAATAAAGAAAAAATTTAAAAAAAAAAGAAGTAAAGAAAATAATGAAAAAGGAAAAAAAAGAAAAGAATGAAAAATAAATGAAGCTCCCTGATTGGTTTCTCATTCTTCCTATGGGCTTCTACCCAATTGTGAAGAGAAAAAGCCTTGGTACTTTTTTCTTTTCTTTCCTTTCCAATTACTCATTACTCACAATTAGACCTGACAAAACAGAACCGGAACCGATTATCCAACCGAAATATCTGAAATCGAAACTGGAATGACCCGAAAAATGAAGATCCGATCTATAACCGAAAACCCAAAATGATCCGAATCGAACCAAAATCGAACTAAATAATTCATATCCGATTTAAATCCGAAACCGATAATATCCGAACCGATTAAACCCGAAACCGAATAGATCCGAACCCGATAATACCCGAAATCGATAAAATCCGAAACCGATTAGATCTGAAACCGATAATATCCGAACCCGATTAGAACTAAAATCGATAAATTCAGAACTATGTTTGCCTTTCAATAAGTATATTACTCTATTTTTAAATTTTTACTTTTATTTTACCATTTGAACTAATTACATTACTTGCACATTCCCTCATAGAATTGATTTTCTTCTTGAAAAAAAGTACAAAATTTTATGCCTTACATTTGATATATGTAGAAATTAAAGATAGGTTATACATATAAATGATAACGCACAAACAAATAAAATTTTCGTAATTTTTAAATAGTGAAGTGTGATATTCTTTTTGGGACGAAAGAAATATATGATGAATTGTATGGAATAACTAGATTTTATCCTAATTTCATCTCATTACAATAAAGTTTATTGATTTGAGAGTTAATTTGATTAGTTTCAAACCAACTCACTCAATATTAGTCAATAAAATTAGATGCTGGTGTTAGCATTTTGAAAAGACTCTCTAGCGGCAGTCTTTGCTCTTATCATTTTCAAATTTGATCTACACCATTACATTTAGGTGTAAAATTAATTATATTTGACTTTATTAAATTCAATTTTCTTTATTTTCAACCAAATATACTCAATAATTTACAAATTTTGCACTCAATTGAATAAAATTCACCCAATTTTACTCAATTTTTACCACATTGTATTCAAATGGAACATAAGACTATTTGAATTTATCTTTTATCCTTTCATTTATGTACATAAGTATATTACGGAGTAGTAGATGTGAGAAAAATTTGATATTTCAAAACTAAATTTTAAAATCAATTTAATTATATTAAATTTATATCATAATTAAATATATATGTTTTCATAATTTGTAGTCCAAATTTGTAAAATATGACTAAAAA